ATATTCAAATTCAAATTCAAAAATACTTTATTAATCCCAAAGGGAAATTATTTGTTGTTGTAACTCGTTATCCTCATTTCATTAAGAGATGTTATAGATGCTGATGGCTATAGACAGGAAGGATCTCTTGTAAAGGTTCATCCCACAGTGGATTCTAAGAAACTGGCTGCAGATGCCGGCCGATCCGTCCACCCAGACTCGTCTGGCCTCTCAGTTCCCCCGGGCTGTAGGACTGCCCGAATTCCGAGCAGAACTCCTCCCAGAGCGATGGCCACTCCTCCCAACAGTCTGCCGAGCTCCTCGTAGCTGCGGACAGCCAACTGCAGGTGTCGAGGGACGATCCCGTCCTTCTGCTTTCATGAACCGTGTTTCCTGCTAGTTCCAGGATCTCAGTGGTCAGGCACTCGAGCACAGCTGGCAAGTAGATGAAAATGCGTCCACAGAACATCCTTTTCAACTCTTTTGAGATTTGGGGCTGTAGTTGAAATATTATTTGAGCTTTTGAGATGTTAATCAGCTGTTGCTGGTTGTAGAGAACTGCCTTGTTGCCATGGTTATGCATAATAACAAATGTCAAAAACTAAAAAGTTTCAGTAAAAATCCTTCCAGCTGCACAGCATCTGATACCAGAGGAAACAATCATCCAAAAAATGTGATTTACATCCAGAAAAAGAGGAATTAAAGTTTCTAAAAGCAAAATCTCAGAATGAAAGTAACAGAGCTGCTCCAACATGCAGCCACCTGGAGCGGCGCAATTCTAGAACTGAATATATATATAATATAATATACATATATATATATATATATATGGTGACAGGAATTTTGGATATTGATGTGTCAATCCAATTTTTGAAATGAACTTTTCTTGCCCTTATATGTTGCGACTCATAAAAATAGAAGTTGGTACCTCACCTTTTTTAAAGTTATCATGGTCAAAACATGCAAGGACAAACAAACGAATGGAATGACAGATGGAGGAATAGACAAAACCTACAATTCCCTCTCTTCGCTCCATGACTGGGAGTAACAAGACTTTATTTGTTTTATTTTTTTGTGCTAAAACTCATGATTTATCAGGAAGTTTGGATGTGATAAATGACATGCATCTTATTAGACTTTTTCTAGATTAATGTTTGCTCTAAAACTGATTCAAATATGAGTAGAGAAGCTGTAATCCTAACCCGAAATAACTGACAGAGTAATCCTCTGATTTTGTGCTGAATCACTGTACTTGCTCATCTTGTTGCTGTCCTTTTCAGTAAACAGAAATAAATGTGTCCCGAGGAACAAACAAAACAAA